AGGTTTGATTTGAACTTTGGTAGGGACACTATTGGTCAGGTGTCATTGGTGCTATGCAATATGCATGCCCTTTTTTATGCTGGATGTGAGCATCCGTACTGATAAGAGGAATTCATTGTTAAAAGAGAAAAGCAACATTTTGCTCCATTAATAAAAATGTTATAAGCTCTACACTCATTAGATGCTGTTTATCAATGTTTGAAGTATCACCGGCTCTGATGAATGTGGAATTAGGACTGTTTTCCACTTTGAAAATGGTTTCATTTGAACGACTAAGAGAGAAGGTAAATACAGTATTTTCTTTTGAAGATACAGAATTGTGCGAGTTAAACCCCACTCTAATATTTGTACCTACTATTCTCTCTCTGTATCAAGCAAAAATAATACATTCATTAAAATATTAACTTCACTATAAAAGTTGAACATCTGAGCTGTAGTTACTCTGTGTAGCCAATTTCATGTATTTTATCTAGGGCTGAAAAAAATGAATCATATTAATTGATTATTTCAATAATCGTCAACTAATTTAGTAAGTGATTCATCATTAACTGGAGTATAGAGACTTTAAAACATACAGTAATATAAATGTAAAATGTGCCTTTCCCCACAGAGCAACCCACTTAGATCAGTTATTATATAAAAATTGTAAAAATAAAAACAAAAAAATTAAAACAGTAATATCAACTAAATATCTGTAAAAGGAAACCCTCACATTTTCTGTTTTAATTGGCTGTGGCTAAGAATCAGAAATGTTGATGGCTTACAGCCTTTATTTGCCCATTTTTCCAGCAGTCTTCAGAACTCCTGGCTGACTCAGAATATTTCGTTTTATAACAGAAAAAAAAAGGTTTTTGTTTTTTAGTGTGCATGATATTCATTTTTTAATTGGGACTAGTTTTGTAGCCTAATATTAATTGTAGTAACCGCTGCATTCTAGTGTGAATACATTTTCAATTTTGTGCTCCAAGCACACGCGGACTAGAAAACAGCCAATCAGAGAGAGAGAAGGCGGGACCTAAGGCAAAACAACCAATGAGAGTGAAGTTAAACAGCGCAGCACAGTTCCATGCGCTGCTACGTGAAAGGGACAGGAGAGACCAGGCAGAGGAGCTGCGAGAGGAAAAGAAGCCACTGCTGCAACAACTACTGCTGTAAATTATAAACATGTTGCTCACATCAAATTATTGGTCGGGACAATTAGGTCGGTTCAAAATTTTGGTAGGGACATGTCCCTATGGTCCCTATGCAAACCTACGCCCATGGGTGTGGTCATCAGCACACAGAGTCTAAAAATATAGATATTTTCTAAGTCAAAGATAAATGCAAGTCCAAATAACATCAAAACTGCTTCAACCGTTTTAATTCTTCTATCCTGATTTTCTTTCAGACTTAAAAAAATTAGCATAGAACAAAAGTGCACTGTGAATGAACATAATACAAATTACAGAATTCAAAATTACAAAGTGATGAATTTTACCTACTGCTTACCTCGCATTTTGCCTTCTCACCAGCTTTTTTCCGCTTTCTCTCCTTTTGTAGTTCCTCTCTGGACCTTTTAAAAAGGACAAATTGAATGTTTTCTTCAAAAAACTGATGTGTGTAACATGATGTGATGCAGTGCACCATTATTGTTTTTACTTCACAGGGAACTTTGTCAAGAGAGTGAGACACCACCATCTGCGTATTGTCATCATATCATTCTGTGGACATCACAGGTTCACATTTAATAAAATCTCCAACAGAAAGGACAGATCTGCTTCCTTACCTCACAGAAATCAAATGATGCTCCCATCAGAAAGTACAGTGCATATTGTTGAGAAAAATGTGATTATTACGTCTATACTAACCATACAACAATATGGTGGGTGGAAGTGGATGTTACCATAACTATGAACATTCCGCAGTTCATGGGCGGATCTACAGGGGGGCAAGGGGGGGCAGCTGACCCCCCAATATAGAGCCTTGCCCCCCCAGCTGCCCCCCTAACTTTGATGATCCAAAAGCTGTACCTGTAAAAACAACCTGCCACTATGTTCACAGGCTTCTCAAAACAATACATTTACCAAAAGGTTGCAATTTAGTTTTTTATTTTTAATGTATTATTTGCCACCGTCCCTCAAATACTTAGCTACGCCCCTGATTCAAACATGCAGAGCGCAGTTCGCGCTCAGTCTGTCTGACACACACACAGTCTGCAGTGTCGCGGTGGCTCTGTAGTGTGCAAACTAACTGGAGAGACTGAGCTGTCCCAGGGCATCTGAAGGTGAAGTGACTTTTACCAGGTGTAGTTTAAACACACGTTTCACTTAAAAGTTACATTTGTAGTCAATATCTGCTAAAGACGATTAGCAAAAACAGCGAGTGTGTCGGTCAAATCCTTCCCTCGGGATTTGTAAGAGCACTCTTCCCTTTGATTAATGTTAAGAAAAAAACAGCTTAATAAAAAAATACAAAATATTTTTTGTATCCATAACGTTAACTGATTTACTGATGGTAACCGTTATGCCGCCGTTACGTTACAGCATGCAGGCTACAGTGTTGATTTGATTAGCTGAGCAGTCCTATAAATCCAATTCCTCTCAGATATCGCAGCAATGAAACCAGGTTATAACTGGGGAAATAACAAATACAATAGAATTAAGTAGTCTAAACATAACTGGTGTGTGAATGTGATAAATCTTTCTCATTTATATTTGTTATATAGGCTATACTACAATACCTATATATATATATATATATAGATAGATAGATAGATAGATAGATAGATAGATAGATAGATAGATAGATAGATAGATAGATAGATAGATAGATAGATAGATAGATAGATAGATAGATAGATAGATAGATATAGAAATATAGATATATATATATATATATATATATATATATATATATATATATAGATATATCTATATATATATAGATATATATATAGATATATATAAATATATATATAGATATATATAGATATATATATAGATATATATATATATAGATAGATATAGATATATATACATGTTTTGAAAAATCTCTCTGCCACCAGAAATTGTTGTCAAATTATTGCATTTTATATTCAAACATTAGTATTGGTGTATAACTTTATACTATTCATAACTTCATATAATCTTTTAGAATATTAAAGACTTTATGATCAGTAACTACTGATTGACACCTTACTAGACCAGTAAGTATGTTGGTTACTCAGTATTGTAGTAGTCTTTTTGCTTTATTCTGTTATTCTGTTATATATATATATTCTGTTATTTATATATATATATACAGGTGCTGGTCATAAAATTAGAATATCATGAAAAAGTAGATTGATTTCAGTAATTCCATTTAAAAAGTGAAACTTGTATATTATATTCATACATTACATACAAACTCATATATTTCAGATGTTTATTTTGTTTAATTTTGATGATTACAAATGACAACAAATGAAAATCTCAAATTCATCATATCAGAAAATTAGAATATTACTGAAGACCAATAAAAACAAAGGATTTATAGAAATGTTGGCCAACTGAAAAGTATGAACATGAAAAGTATGAGCATGTACAGCACTCAGTATTTAGTTGGGCCTCCTTTGGCCTGTATTACTGCAGCAATGCGGCGTGGCATGGAGTCGATCAGTCTGTGGCACTGCTCAGGTGTTATGATAGCCCAGGTTGCTCTAATAGTGGCCTTTAGCTCTTCTGAATTGTTGGGTCTGGTGTATTGCATCTTCTTCTTCACAATACCCCATAGATTTTCTATGGGGTTAAGGTCAGGAGAGTTTGCTGGCCAATTAAGAACAGGGATACCATGGTCCTTCAACCAGGTACTGGTAGCTTTGGCACTGTGTGCAGGTGCCAAGTCCTGTTGGAAAATGAAATCTGCATCTCCAAAAAGTTGGTCAGCTGCAGGAAGCATGAAGTGCTCTAAAACTTCCTGGTATGTGGCTGCGTTGACCCTGGACCTCAGAAAACACAATGGACCAACACCAGCAGATGACATGGCACCCCAAACCATCACTGACTGTGGAAACTTTACACTGGACTTCAAGCAACGTGGATGAAGTGCCTCTCTTCTTTTCCTCCAGACTCTGGGACCTTGATTTCCAAAGGAAATGCAAAATTTACTTTCATCAGAGAACATGACTTTGGACCACTCACCAGCAGTCCAGTCCTGTTTCTCTTTAGCCCAGGCAAGACGCTTCTGACGCTGTCTGTGGTTCAAGAGTGGCTTGACACAAGGAATGCGACAGCAGAAACCCATGTCTTTCATACGTCTGTGTGTGGTGGTTCTTGAAGCACTCACTCCAGCTGCAGTCCACTCTTTGTGAATCTCCCCCACATTTTTGAAGGGGTTTTGTTTCACAATCCTCTCCAGGGTGCGGTTATCTCTCTTGCTTGTACACTTTTTTCGACCACATCTTTTCCTTCCCTTCGCCTCTCTATTAATGTGCTTGGACACTGAGCTCTGTGAACAGCCAGCCTCTTTAGCGATGACCTTTTGTGTCTTGCCCTCCTTGTGCAAGGTGTCGATGGTCGTCTTTTGGACAACTGTCAAGTCAGCAGTCTTCCCCATGATTGTGTAGCCTATAGAACTAGACTGAAAGACCATTTAAAGGCTTTTGCAGGTGGTTTGAGTTAATTAGCTGATTAGAGTGTGGCAGTGTGGCACCAGGGGCCATCAATTTTGAACCTTTTCACAATATTCTAATTTTCTGATATGATGAATTTGAGATTTTCATTTGTTGTCATTTGTAATCATCAAAATTAAACAAAATAAACATCTGAAATATATGAGTTTGTATGTAATGTATGAATATAATATACAAGTTTCACTTTTTAAATGGAATTACTGAAATCAATCTACTTTTTCATGATATTCTAATTTTATGACCAGCACCTGTATATATATATATATATATATATATATATATATATATATATATATATATATATATATATATATATATATATATATATATAGGTATTGTAGTATATGCTACTTCACTTATAAGTTCCATGGCCCTACAGTGTAGGCTAATGAAATACAAGCATAACCAGAGGTTTTCACATATTGACTTTTGCATGCAAATATTACTTCATAGGCCTAGCCATGAAAAGGAAGGCTAAAAGTGGGGATATAACCAGCTTTTTTGCAAAGAAAATTCCAACAAGTACACAAGAGGAAGAGTGCAAGGGAAATGAGGGAGAAGGCAGTAAACTGGAGAGCCCAGGAGGGTCAGTGCAGGAAAAGACTGAAGGAGACACAGAAATAAGTGACGGAGAAGAGGAAATACATGAAGGAGACACAGAAACGAGTGAAGGAAATGAGGAAATAAGTGCAGGAGCTGAGGAAAAAGAAGAATCAGTGAGAGATGAAGAGGAGGCTCCAGATTCAGAGAGAGGAACAGACGCAGGGAATGATCAGGTGGAGGAGGAAGATGACAGAGAGGAAGAGGGTAGACCTGAAATTCTCCCTGGACCACATGGTATGTTTTTATTCTTCTTCTATATAAATTGCCATACAGAGGGATAATATATGTTATGCCACATATGCATTAGCTATGTCCATGTACTGTTCAATTGCATTAGATAATCATATTTGGCACTCTTTGTTTTTTAAGATATATCAAAATGCAAAGGTGATGCAGCAGTGCAGCCTGATTTAAAGACATTTCCAAAGACACAACATGGAGCAGCAAAAAGAAGCTTCCACAGGGAGTGGTACAGTTCTTGGCCATGGCTTGAATATTCCATGTCTAAAGATGCAGCATTCTGCTTTGCATGCAGACATTTTGCACATTTGAAAAACAGTGTATTCACTTCAGAAAATGGCTATTCTAACTGGAAGAAGGCCACTTCCAAAGACAGTGGGTTTAGTGTACATTCCAGAGCAGACACACATGTGAATGCAATGATTGCATGGAGTGAGTTTAAAAGAATGGCCAAGAAAAACACAACTGTCTTGGGAATGATGGGAGATGAAAATCAGTTACAAGTAATCGAAAATCAAAAGTACATCAAAACTTTAGCTGAAACCTTGCTGTTGACAGCCACTCAGAATATTTCCCAACGTGGCCATGATGAATCAGAAAA